AAGAGGAAGAAGTCTTGATGGCGGCTTTGAAGAAGGTCTATGAGGCATATCAAACATCCCCAGACGATGAACGTCTCCCCCTCGCGTTAGAGCGCCTCGCGTCTATTCGGGGCGGAAAGGAGAAAAACGCACGCCTTCAAAAGGTGCTGCATTGCAATGCCCTCTGCATCGTTTTATGCACGCGTCTCCTCAAGTTGGGTCAGCATTTTCGTCGTCGTCGGGAGTTCTCGGTCACTTGGCTCGCCAAGTCCATGGACGTCTGCATGGGGGTAAGTACAGCTATCCAATGTTAGACGATCGCGTAGATGCTGACGTCGTGCGATCGCAGTTGTATGTGACTTGGATAGAGTCGCGCTGCAAGACTCTAGCAAAACTCGCGTCTCAGAACGCTTTCCCAGATTCCGCCACGGTAGAGAAGCTGCTTGATAGAGCGGAGAACGATGATGAAGCTGCGAAGAAGAAGTTGAAAGAGTTGCGCATGTCGATCGAGAACTGTAAATCGGATGAAGAAGGAGATCTTGCCATATGGGCAGAGGTGATCGGCCCGTTAGACAAACACACAGCGGTTTTTCAGCAAGCCGCCAAGGATTCCCTCCAGGAGATGGTCCCAGCCTATGTCGGGCCGTTGAGCACTTATCGACAGCACTCCGTCGCGACCCTCAAAAAGGCCTGGTTATCGTCGGGCAAAGGCACGCAAGGCGGCGACAATCATATCTTCCAGCACCTCGACCGCGTCATCGCACGCGTCATGCTTCACCTCACGCCAGATGAGGATGAAGTGCAGGCCCCTGAACCGTTGCTAGGAGGCTTCATGCTCGACTACGCTTGGTCGTATATGTCGAGGATCCAGGAAGGCGTCGCTGAGGTGAGTTCAGGAGACTCGCGTCGCGAGATGAGGCTCACCTGAACGATCGTTAGATCTGTCGCTGGTTCGAACCTCTGCTCGATTACTGGCGAATCTTGCACGCCAAGAATCACGTCATGGACGACTGGACGACCGTCATGTTCGCCAACATCCAGGCGGACCCGCGCTTCAAAGTCAAAGGAGTCGATGTCTTGGTCAGTATCGTCGCGGCAGCAGCGGCAGAGACACTGATATGATTGACCATGCGCAGGTCGCGGACACCATCTGGATGTACAGGGATTCATTGGTCTTGCGCTTGCATAATGCGATGATGACGCAGAAGCGAAAGCAGTTCGCCCGTCCGAGCGACAAGGATGGATTGAAGGCAGGATTCGATTCATTGTCGCCTAACGAGCAGACCGCAAGCGAGGCGCTGACGATGTTGATCACGAAAAAGCGAGCCCTGTCGGCTTCTGGTACGGAGGTCACCAAAAATCTATCCAACGAATCGCAAGTGGTCGCAGGAACGATGGCCCTCCATTGCACCTCGTGGGACTGGCTCTCTCCCGCGCTCAGGAATGTCAACAGAGACATCGCGCCCTGCGTGCAGGCCATCGCATACGAGAGCTCGTACATACTGAAGTACCGACCGGCCCTGTTGAAAGATCAGTGGATCGGGGCCCTGCGCTGCATGCTGGAGAATGATTTCACTGAACGAGTGATGTCATTCCAGACCATCGATGAGAATGGAAAGCTCCGCTCCATGAAGCGATGGTTGTGGTGGGATCGACTCCCTCTTAGTTCCAAGCAGCAGGACCCAGCGACCGTCGTCGGCAAGATCAAGGACAGTTCTGTGATAAGGCAGCAGCAGCAGCAACAGCGTCTTACCCTCGAGAACGCCGACCGCGATGCCCTGACCAAAGCCATCAACACTATCGCCGGTCTGAACTGTGCGAAGGTGTTGGGCGATGGTCCCACTCTGATGTCGACAGACGTCCTTACGCCTCTGCAGGCACTTGTCGAAGTGAGTCCTGTTTTCCGCGGTGACAACGGTTGCGTGTGCGATCATACCCAGTCATCTTGTTCTTGCGGGTAGCACATGCAACCGTTGCATGTGCTACTTCATCGGGTCGTTGCCTGTCCGCGTTGGCCACCGTTGTATGTGCGGAAGTCATGGTAGCTGACCGTCGTCGTCGTCGTCCCATAGGGTCTGCAGTTGAACAGCGCACGACGTAGAATGCGCATTCTCAGCGGGGACAACGAAAAACACTTCAACGCTGAAACTGACATCGACGACCTCAAGATCGTTTTCCCAGCTGCGGAAGCGGATGAACACACGACGGTGAGTACATGCAGTCTATTGCAATCACTGCTCGTTTACACACATTGCAATTCATACAGTATCCCGCGGCTGACGACGACGACACCGACAAGGAGGAACAACCCTTGCATGTCGAACGTGATGGCAGCCACATCGATGCTCAGAAAGAGTCTTCTGTCCCGGCGACAGATGAAGGTCCTGCTCGCGAGAACTCCCCGCCAGCTACGCCAGCTGTTCCACGCACCATCCCCAAACCACGCCCCAAACCACGCAGGCAACGTCAGCCATCGCCTGTCCCAATGCTTATTGCCTTGCCTGCAACCGACGACGACGTTGATCAATCGTCCTCTACAGGACACAGAGCATCGAGCGTTGTCCCAGTGCCTCCAGAACCTCGTGAGTGTATTTGTCCATTTCACATTCATTCATGTCGATCTCTCGATGTCAGAACGCCTCGACGTCGTCACACTCTCTTCCGCGCTCGCCACCGTTGCGTCCGCGACGACCGCGCAAGGTATGTTATAATATAATACGCTCCTGTGTGCTGTGCGCGTTTACCCTCTAATGCTGTTGCAGTTGCCCTCGAAACCATCGCATCCACGACCGTTGAACAACGTATGTTTCATAATTCATTGTACCACCACTTACACTCATGCGTACATGCAAACAGCTGTTGACGCTGTTCAACCTACCGCCGAGCTCGCAACGGTTGTACCCGCGGACGATCAGACCGACATCTGTGCGTTTTCATTGCGTCGTCGTTCCAGCCCAGGTCTCATCCTGTTTCAGCTGAATGCTTCCCTGGGTCGCTGCCACCGCTCACTCAGTCCTCACCTCCAGGCACCCCTTTAGACGGCTTTGCCACCTCAGATGTCAGCTGGTTCAAGAACGGTCGTGAATCTGAAGAAGACGACACCAATGCTGATATCGCAGAGGCGCGTGATCCGCTCGATGAATGTGCGCACTCGCTACCGTTGTCGACGTCGAACATCGTTGACCCTCTCTATCTTATTTCTTTCTTAGCATACCATCCCACGCAAGGTTTGACACAGCCGATCGACGCCGCAGACACCCAGGTTCGCAGAAGTGGTGCGTCCAACACAGATCCATTCTTCGCATCATTCGTGACCTGACCCCAAAGCAGCTCGCCGCCACCCTTCTCCCGCTCATGCACCCGCTGCTACCAAACGTTCGCGTGCAGCTACTGGTACGTCGACTTTTGTCTTGTCCCCACGACCGATCCGACTTTCGATCGCTCAAAATAATCACAGGCTCTTCAGTCGCGTCGACGTCCTCGTCGAATGGCAAACAGAAGAAGAAGAAGGCACGTTTCACCACGCCAAACATGCCCGATGACGATGAAGACGAGCTCATCGTCCTGCCGAACGTTTAGAGTGATCGAAGTTTTCGCGTCTGTCTTTCTTTCTCGCCACCCCGTCCAAATGTCCTTGTCTGTCGTGTCCTATCGCTTGCCAATGCTTGTAATGTAGTTGTAAATGCAAATCCACATGCCGCTCTTGACCCCATCCGAACCGCGATCCATCCTTCGTTCGTCCAGCATAACCTTGCTCCTCATATCAGATCCTAACAATGTCCATCTCCTCCGTCCGCCGTTTCATTTTATACTCCCATCATCCCCTCTTCTTTGGCCCACCCATCCCTCGTATACTCGCCCCAACCTTTCGACTTTATCGCCTTTTCCATTCACTCGCTCATATCGATTCAGACCGTAGCTACTTGCTTCACATGTAGCGCTCGCAACGGTGGCGAGTGCGCTCTACGAACCCCTTTCATCCTTGCAAGGTACCATTTCATCTTGACGTCCCGTTCCATGTCTGAGCAGCATATGTCCCATTCTCTCATTCTGAACCCTCAAACGTAGCGTTCGCAACGGTGGCGAGTGCGCTCTACGAACCCCTTTCATCTCTGCAAGGTACTCCCACTTCATCTTCAGGTCCCGTTCGATCTCCGAGCAGCAGATGTCCCACTCACTCTTTCCGATCCCTACCCGTCTCCCAATCCTGCAACGAACTCGCGTCCGTCCGAGTTTCTATCGAGTCCCTCTCTATTTTCCTATGCTACACTTTATTCACGCATCAGCAAAACACTTATCTGAAGTCCCCATATAGGCAGCATTGCACAGCGCTACACAGCGCTGTCCATATGGGGACATCCCTGCGCATCCAATTAGCGTTTTGCTGATCCATCTCTCTCTCCTATCTACCTTAAAACTACAAGTCCTCCCGCCCAACATCTCAGTCCCTTTCCCAACCCTCATATGTAAGTCCAACTTCCCCGTTTTACCTTACAAACCACACCTGACATCCCCTTACGTATGTTTCTTATCACCTGCTACAATAGTCGACCCCTCGGTCCGTTTCCCAACGCTCCCACTCTGATTTCTTATCGCCTCTATTTCTCGCTGTTGCAATCACCAAGTCGTCCGTGGTCTTCAGTCTGAAAACCTTGCCCTTGCTACGTATCTTTCACTTTCATATGTCCCCTCGTATATCTTCATTCTACTCCCCCCTGTCAATCTCAGCCCTCAAATATACCTCCCGCCCAGCGTATATTTCATTTATCGCACTTTACACAGTTTCATATTTAGTCTACTACGTCGCGTGATTCCTACCTCAGCCCTCGTCTCTCTCTCCAGTGCGCCACTGACGTCGGTACTCTTTTCATACTCCGTGTTCTTAAGTCTCTCTCGCTTATGCCCATTACCTACCGTATACTATCTTCGTATGGTCACCCACAGCAAAATTTTTACTTCTATTGCTCCCTTCCTCTAATCATCTCATCACCACACTTCAGACCATTTTGAGCGCCCTCCACAAACAGCCCTTCCCCTCTACAATACCTCTTATACAACTTCCTCGTGCATGCCCCTCTGCCTCTGCCTCTGCCTCTGCAGTCGCATCCCATCAATAGTAGCCCTCGCAACTCTTTCTTCCCCAAACATCATAACATGCGGTAATGCAACGCTCATCTCCACTAGCTTCACAACGTCTTTGTGCCTGGTCTACAGCTTGCTCCAGCATGGTCTTCCTGCCTTCCTGCCTTCCTGCCTTCCTGCCTTCCCTCCTTTCATTCCCATCGCCCCCGCAATAAACAATCCCCTCGCCATCAGCCCTGCTGATCGCCTCACTCTGAACAACATGAATCCTTACTTATGGAAACAATCATTTCCATCCCCATCCCATCCTTCCTTCTTTTGATCCTCACTTTAACCCGTCAGGCGTACAAAGCTCCATTTCACTTTGACTCCTCCATCAACAAACTCTCGCCGCATGCCTTCCTGCAATACAGCACTGCACAACGCCACAGCATCATCGTCCCATTGCTACCATTGCCGTCCTACATCCCTGATGTCGACCATTGGCGCATGAGTCATCACAAACAGTCTTTGAACCATCTGCAAAAATGGTTGTCGTCATATACCTGATCCGACCCCTCCAACAATATTAACATCCACTCCATTCCCCCCGACCCTTCATCCCTCCCGCTTTTCAATCACCTCTGCTCCATCCGCCCTCCCCTCCTTTCAATCAGCTTCCCCATCCCCTCCTGTGGTTCCGCTCCACCCCCTGACCAGTCGCCTTCCATATCGTCTCCATTCAACTGGAACCTCTTTCCCCATTTAGGTATATACTTTCCCCTTTCGCACATAGACCTTACTTCCGGATCACCGGTAAGTCCTATAACCCCTCCATTACTGATCCCATGCGCACATATCGATATCCGCCCTGACTTACGTCTTCGCCTGTGTAAGTGCTTACAAATCGTATGCTCGGTACATAGCCTTACGCCATAGTCTCCTGACCGCTGCCTCCTACTTAGAAGTATATAACCATACCCTGTACCTAGCTAGTTTCTCCAGTCTTAATATTACTTGCCTTCTTGCAGTTTCTACTCGTGAGAATTCTCAGTGGGACCTTGCTCCCTCTGGACGCAAGTTTTACCTTGTTGTCGCCTCCAACCCTCCGCTCCGACTTAGAGCCGTGCTCTAAGTCTTCGCTCTTACTTCTCCACCCCTACCAATCCCCTTGCTCTCGTCCCCTCACCGCACTCTTCCCCGCATTTCCTGCTCCGCTCCTAGTCGGCCCGCCGCTAGTAGCACTTACTTCCTGACCCTCAAAGCGGGCGGACCAAAGCGGTCTACTCGTTCTATTGTCGGACAGCATCGGACCCGCTCCAAATTTGGGGCACATGCTCGGCTAAGGGCGCAGCGCAAGAGCTGAAGCCAAGCCCTGACCCCTCTGCTTCTCGGTCTGAGCATGGTACCTAACAGTTGTCATGCTAACTTCCTCTCAGGTACAAAGATGAAGCCTACGAACATCTGTTGCAATGCCTCTTCGCTGATCCTAACGACTATATGAACGGACTTCCCAATGCCTCGATCAAGAAGTTGACCGTGCGCGAGTTTGCCCTCCATATCTCCCAGATGTCGCAGGCCAAGGCTCCAATATCTGTTGCAACCTGTCTCATTTCCATGGCGCCGTCGACCACCATCTTTCACATCGCTTATGTTCGCATGCTCAAATATGACCCAGAATGAATGTCATATTTCTGAGTAGCACTCGCAACGGTTGCGAATGCTATGCGACCGATTACTATTACTATTACTATTACTATGAGTAGCATTCGCAACCGTTGCATGCGTGACGACCAAGCGTGTATGATTCAATGTCGCCTGAATGGTCTGTAGTGACATATTGCGAACATCATGTTGCATTGAGTCATGATGACGACCGTTGCAAATGCGGAGTACACTGAATATGCAGTCGCATTGGGAGTCGGACCTTTAATAAGAAGATGGTCGGAGGCTCCACAAGACCAAATACTGGTAATGCGAAGGAAAGTGTCTCAAATAGGGGCGACTGTTAAGGCTAGCTCCTAAAAAACCGGAAACAGATTCCACACGACCATTTTGTTGGGAGCAAGCCTTGCTCCACATTTTTAACAGTCCCCCCCCCCTATTGTGGAAGCAACATTGTGGCGGAAGGCTTTCCTCATGAATGTTCATATCTGGTCATGCCAGGAATTGGTCATGTGGAACCTGTGACCGGTTTTTAGGAGCTAGCCTTGACGGTCGCCCCTATTGAGATGCTTTCCTTCATATGACCAGTATTTGGTATTGGGGAACCTGCGACCCTCGTAGCCTTGCCTCTGTTGGAGCACGTTGGAGTTGATCTACACTGTTTCCCATGCAAGGGGCGACTGCCAAAAGTGGAGCGAGATCGGTGGCCCATTTCATGGGGACAGCATTCCTCCACATTGTTGCTCTCATACAAGGAGCGACTGCCAACAATGTGGAGCGAGACTGACCACATGAAATGGAAATGGGCGACCAACCTTGCTCCACATCATTGGCAATCATCCCTTGTATGGGAGCAATGATGTGGAGGAAGGATTTAGCGGTGGAAAAACAGATCACCGACTGGCAAGGGGCATCGAACCTTGCAATCAATATTCAACGGCATGTTTCATAAAATCGATGCTCATGCTGAAGAAGCCTTCACACGAGTTCACTATGCATGCATTGGGTGAATACTGTGACGACGTCGTAGCAAGCTTGCGAAGATGGATCGTACATCCATCCCTGCATGGCTGATCTGCGATCACAGCAGTTGCTTCGTGATCGAGCAGTAATGCTCCTTGATTGCAACATATTTCTATATGAACAGAGCCCATATGTGGGCCAAGCGGTTGAAAGGCAGCGATGGTGCCACTGAATCGATCTATATTATCCGACAATATGATAGGATAACAGCTGATGATGCTGTCTAGGTGTCGGCCCAAGATGATGAGCCCTATGCAAGGGGGACCAATCTTCCTCCATTTTGTTTCTCCCATGCAAGGGGCGACTGCCAAAAATGTGGAGCAAGATTGGTCGCCCATTTCATGGTGGAACTCTATCATGAGGCCTAACCTTAATATTGCCAGTATGTGGTCATGCGGAACCTGCGACCCTTGCAGCCTTACCTCTGTTGGAGCATGTTGGAGTTGATCTCCGGCGAGCCTCCTATCTGTCCTTCGAAGTTGAGGGCACTGTACTGGCATAAGGAGCACAGGGCACGAGCTGAAGGATGATGGAGCCAGCGTGCAGCCTATGCTGCCCACCGCCTATATGATATTTCTGAGTAGCACTTACAACGGTTGCGAATGCTACAAAACCAACCACGCACCCCTACAAGACCGAGCCAATCATGTATATCACACTCGAGCCAAGTAGCACTTGCAACGGTTGTGAATGCTACAAAACCAACCACGTACCCCTACGATACCGAGCCAATCATGTATATCACGCTCGAATATCATCCGCGAGTAGCACTCACAACCGTTGCATGTGCGACATTTTCAACACACACGCACACATCTGCATGTTTGGTA